GGTCCGGGCTGGGGATTCGAACCTGCCACCTTAGGTGTACGTGGCTGGCGCCTTAGCCGGTTGAGCTATAGGCGCCGAGCCAGAATCTTTATTTTTAATAATACACTTAAGTATTGCTCTCTTCCCTAAATTACCAGGGTCCTGTCTCTGATTTGTATCTTCTGGAAGATTTAAGCTGTGCGTTATTTATTAATTCTTATTCTCTTTCATTCCAAAAAATAAATTATTATGCTATCACACATACACATAGACACACACAAAATTAGGACTATTGCCTAATATAAATTAATTCCGTTTATGATTTGATCGTTCTCCATCCTAAGGATGAAACTATTTCTATAACTGTTGGCTCTGAGTCAGATGATATTTCTTAGTGCAAGAGGGATGGAACTTTAGTGGTGGCCCTATATGATTTTTTTTTCGTGTGCTATAACCCTGTGCCTTACTCCAACTCCCAGCCCTAAGCAGTTACCCTCTGGTGGAAGCCTGCAGCTCTGTTTGTTTGTTTCTTTAATTATACAGACAGTAGGATCTGCATCCTTACTAGCATATAGAAAAATCAGAGAAACAATGCAACCAACAGTGTAAGTATTTTTTTATTCTTTAGATCCATTCTTCTCAAAACCAGAATCAAATTAGGTCATGAACCATATACCCATGGTAATTGAACTCATAACTTACTGCATAATTGAGATCTCTTTCCATAGGAATCTTGTCATTCATATGTCCACAGCCTTGTGACAAGCATGCTAACCTGTGCTCATAAGGCTTGAATGATGCCAGATGTGTTATATATTTCAGATTTATTCTGCTCACAAACATGACCTGGTTAGCAAACAGAGTAATGATAGACTCTTAGTGGGTTGGAAAGAATGTTTGGGTCATGAACATCTATAAAACTTTAGCATGGTATGGCCAGAGGAGGGGGGTAACTATAGGAAAATTAGACAAAATTATAACTGAATTATCTGGAGTTGCTGAATTTTATTCCATAGGCACGGAATGGTGGTATACAACTCTGAATCAAGTGATATTGAAAAAAGAAATTGAATTCCCTAAAATTTCAATTTTAGAGTATGAGAAAGGAAAGAATATATATTCCAGTACTTTGTCTACTATCATAAAATTAGGAAGGAATGAAATTTTTTTAATGAAGAAGAATTTCTAAAATGCCCACTGTCCATTGTTATTTCACAGTGAATTCATTCAACAGTATTTATTGAGTGCCTACTCTATGCCAGGCCTTGGGGATATTAAAGCCAATAGAATTTGGCATCACACTCGGAGTTTATAGTCTAGTGAGGGATACAGAGATATAAAAGAACGATTGACCAGAGTATGAAAAGTGCTATGAAAGAGACAAAACTAAGGTGCCAAGGAGCAAAAAGCCAAAGCCAAGTGGGCAGCAGAAAAGGAGGTGGTGCACAGGGTCTTTCCAGAGGAAGCAATGGTGGAAGTGAGTTTTCATATTGTGACATAAGCTTTTTTTCACTGCACAATGATCTTTATTCAGGAATTCAAGCATCAAGAATATATTTTGTAGCTATATATACACACTATATTAAACTTATTTTTCAATTCATTTAATCTTTGACATTCTGAGCTAACAGTTAGTACATGGTCTCTAATACATCCTGTGCTTAAAAGTTCTCATAAAAACATGGATGAATTTGTACTTGTCTTACTAAAGCTTTGTATACTATGTAACTAAATACATAAATGACTTTTAAGTCATCTATAACTATCTGATGCCTCTGATTTGGGAAACTACCCTTTCACATTTAAACCTGACTAGGTAGCTGGGCAGAGTGGTTCATTATGTAATCCCAGCACTTTGGAAGGCCAAGGTAGTAAGTAGTTTACAACCAGCCTGGGCAACATAGCAAGACCCTGTCTCTAAAAAGAATTTTTTTTAATTAGCTAGACATGGTAGCATTCACCTATAGT